TTACGCTGATAAATACGAAACGAGTAAAACCCGAAACACAAATCTATCATTCTTTATTCAAATTGAAACGCCATAATTTTTGGGTTGTTGCCAATACCGGATCCAATTTCTTCCCCCATTGGGCGATAAATAAAAGAAATCCACCGCGAGACTAAAAAAATGCCGCCTCGCTTATCAAAATCTACGCGCGGATAAATTAAAGTGTTTAAAACACGTTGGGCAATAACCTACGTAAATAAAATACTTTGCAACTTGTGGAATATCGAACAACATATGATGATGAAACTGGTACGAACGAATATTTAGTATCCAGAAGAGAAGATTGCGCTACGAATACATATTGCCTGGCAGTTGATTAAAAAGACATTTTTACAAACTGGTTATTCCCTATGGCGTGTTGTTTTCTTTATGGAAAAACGGAAAAGTGATGGTTTGCTATTTAATTCGTGGGTGTCTACAGATATCGTCATTTTTCCAAACAGTATTTTTAAGGTGAGGAACATACTTGTGATGCCGTAGTTTTAACATCGAGATGTATACTAATAGAAATACTATTTGAAATCGGTTGCAGTTGTAGTTTATCGGAACATAATAGGTTATCTCAATATTACGTTGCGCTGGTCCACATAGTGATTGTTTCAGAGATATGTTCCCATTTAAATTGAAAAAAATATATATGTTATAACTTTCAAAAATACTTTTGCGTTAGATGTCATCTTTTTCCTATTCTAAAACAAACGCTACAGCGAGCTTATAACTTCTAAAAATCGTTGATCTGTCGAATTTTGATTGATGTTGATGTTGAAATTTGATGTTCATAGTCAGCTGCTTCTACTCTGTTAGGAAATTTCATTCGATGGAGCTTGATCTTTTGAACCCACTAGTTCACGAAATAAATTTAATTTGTCATGAGTCGATTTCACTAAATCTTGAAAATTGCCATGCAATAACAAGTAAATAAAAAAACAACAAGAATAGGAAGTCAAATATTTTGGAAATTAAGAATGCGGAAAGTGACGCCAGCCTCATTACCCATGGCCACGAGCCCCTTCGAACATTTCGCAAGTACCAAAAAACTAATTTGACAATTCACCATAAATAAGCATAACTAACATAACACATGCATTCTACATTTTCATTGAAGAAAGCAGCAGACTGTTTAGCTAGACAAAAGGCTTCTTGGAATATGGGTATTGCTAATTTATTACTAAAACATTGCAAACTCGAAACTAATATATTTAAATTGGACTGCATTTAATACAAATAATAATATATTTTCCAACACATTAAATAATATACAGTTGTTCTACTTTTTTATAATACTTAATAAAATATTTTTAAAGAACAGATTAATTGTACTATTATTTTATTGTTTTTTTTTTATATACTGACCAATAATTACATATTTCGAGAATCTATGAAATACTGCATAATTTAACGTGGTTTTTCAGTTATCCAGCTTTTACTTTTTTTTTTAAATAAATTTTAAGAATATCTGACGCGGATCGAGAACATTTGCCAAATCATATAATTTTTATGTTAGGAAGAGCACTAAATTACTTTTAAGATCCATTTTTCATTTTTTTTCTAATTGGTCCATTAGATAAAGAGATGCACCTCCCCAGGCTGTTATACTAATCTATATGAGTTTCAACAATGATAGACCAGTTTTAATTGTGCCTCGTTTAAGATCGAAGACAAAAATTTGAGTGCCCTAATATTTTTCACACAACATATGCAATCTAAACATCCCACTTTAAGTGGCTATCCAGACAATTTTGGGATTGATAGTAAATTTTAATTGATTATGGGTAGGGATGTTTCCAGTATATGATGTAAAGGCGAAGAAAAATGTTTTTTCACAATACAAAACTCACAACCCGTTCATTGATGTTTAACTTGAAAAGCAGGTTAATATAGATATTAAAGACTATAATCCATATTACATCAATTGAAATTCGCTAGTAACATTTTGAATTTGAACACATTATTTTCGATTATTTAAGTAACTTTGTAATAAGTGGTATGGAATGTCTCTAAAGCCACAAGCTGAAAGCTGTTCGTGGTCGACTGTGTCGAATGCTTTAGCCAGATCAAGAAATATGCACATTGATGGAGCTTTTTTGACTATAAATTTGTTTATATTAGCAGTTAATTCTGGTACCGCATCCTCTGTCAACATTTTCTCTCTGAAGCCATTCCGATTTTTCGACAAAAATTTTCGTAAAACTTGAAAGTGTTGGTATAGCTTCCTTACGAATTGTCGGAAATACTCCTTCATAAAACGATTTGTTTATTAAATACGTAAGAGGAGACAGAATGAAGTTACCGAGCAACTTTAAGGTTTCAGATCTAATGCCATTCCATTAGCTTTTGTCTACCTACCCAACCTTGTTGTAATTTTATATTTTCTGCTAGTTTTCCACATATTTCTGAGCTACAAGAGTTAGGGGCGTTATTGGCAATTGTTTTTAAATCAGTCGTATGACCATCAGAAGTTTTAATTGTGCTAATTAGGTCTCTGTCTTTGGTGGTAACTGTAATACATTTTATGCATTTCCATAGTGTTTATTTTTATTTATTTGTTCAATGTAGTGGTTTTGTATGATTTATTATGGGGGATTTAATATTCATTTCCAATGATATTTAAATATTTGCAAATGAAACATTTTTGTGATGCAACTGTTACTAAATCATTATTATTATTATTATTATTAATATTTTCATTATTATTATTAAAAGAACTTTCCTGAAACAAGACAACTATCCAACTACATTCAGTAACAAATTTCAGTAACCAACTTGAAAATACTTGTCCCACTGTAACACTTAAAGTGAAATAACTAAAAAAATTAAATTAAAGCAAACAGAATTTCAATTTCAAATATGTGTATCTATATTATAGGCAAAAATTTGAAAAATAATTTCACTGTGACTTCGGGGATTTGTCCTTTGTCCACCAAATTGAGTATTTCATGCCTTTCTTTTTGCTAAAACATTTCTTAGATTTTGCAGCGATAACGTTGTATTCATTTACTCTCGGTTGTAATTTTCCGAATGTGCTTAAAACGCTTTATTTTTATATCCGCATGACCTATTCTTCATTGACTCGACCGTTAATAGCGTCGCTGCAAATTTAGATTATTTTTATCGTTAATTAACTTTCCACTGGCGGCGATAAAGTTCATTTAACTACTAGATTATTGCAATAGTTTGCAACCGAATAAAAAAGGAAAATCAGAGATTGCAGCCGCGACTTATTTTTAACTTGTGGATAAAGCGTGTTCTAAAATTATAAACCAAAATAATTTCAAAACATCGACGAACTGTTAATAATACTTCCTATTGCATCATTGAAAGGAATATCACCGACCATATTCGATGAATCAGTTAAGTCCGTGGCGGCATTATTTTTTTTTCTTTTATTTTTATTTATTTATTTAAAGATGTCTACCTAACAGTAGTAGACAAATAGTTACAGAAGCCTTACAAGTAATGATGATATGACGAAACTTAACCTAAAATCTAGCCTAACATAAACATTGACACTAATAAAAAAAACCGAGAATGGGACAAGGCTGAAATTAATAATTATAGTTAATGGGACAATAACGGTTCGTAATAGATCGCGAAAAAAAGTCCAAATCATGGGTACTTGGAGCACATTGAAAAATAGGTGAAAATTTGCTTCTTGGTGTAGTCAGAAAGAATGTATTACTATGCATATATATAGACGGGAGTCCTACATTTTCTGCAGCATACCGCATTCCGATCGCCATATGTTTCTGTCTCTCCGGGCCTTTTCATTTATTGCCGGGTCCTTTAGATTTGTCCATTCTGTTATGTGGTAGCTGGTCTCCCTCGTTTTCTTTTATTTGGTGGAGCATATTCAAAAGCTTTTCTTATCCATCTATTTTTATCCATTCGTCTAACATGCCCATACCATACCAGTTGTCTTGTTTCAATTCGTTCAGTTGTTCTGTGCCGTCTGTTTGTACGGCGTCTAATCTCGTCATTTGGTATGTGTTCTGACCTAGATGATCTTCTAAGAAAATCCATTTCTACAGCATCTATTTTCCTCCTCGTTGGTTCTTTTTGCTGTCAAGATTCTGATCCGTATGTCATTATTGGTTCTACAGTTGCACCGTATATTGTCTATTTTGTTTTTATGGATATTTGAATGGACCAAAGTAAAAGATTGAAAACTCGTACACTCCTCTGTCCCTGTTGAATTTTGCGTTGTATGTCTTGTACAGATGAGCGTTTGTTAGACCGAATACTACCAAGGTATTTATACTCTTCGCATTGATTAACCTATCTTAACCACAAGTGGAGATCTTTATCTTCTTTACCTATTCTCAAATATTCTGTTTTGGCCATGTCCATTTTCATTCCCGCTAGATTATATTCCTGTTGTAGTTTCCTTAACATATAATCTATATCCTCTTCATCATTTGCAATTAGTACCTGATCATCAACAAAGAATAATGTTGACATGTAGTGGTCGCCAACCTTAAGCATTTTTGTCTCCATTTTTGTAGTATTTCTTCTACAAAAATTTTAAAGAAGGTAGGAAAAAGGTAACATCCCTGTGTAAGTCCCTTTGTTACCCGAAATGGTTCTGACAAAGTGTTTTGGGTCTTAAATACACAGTTGCTCTAATATATCCTTTATTTATATCCGTTCTCGTCAAAATATTAAATAAAAGTTTTAAGGGTACCGTGCCGTAGTCTTTCTCAAGATCAATGAAGACAACATGAGTATTGAGGTTACGAGCAACACGTTTTTCTATAATTTGTTGGAGAGTATCCCTAAAACTTTTATTTAATATTTTGGCGAGAACGGATATAAATAAAGGATATATTAGAGCAACAAGATGTTCACAGTGTATTTAAGATCCAAAACACCTTGTCAGAACCATTTCGGGTAACAGGGATGTTACCTTTCTCCTACCTTTTTAAAATTCTTGTAGAATAAATACTACAAAAATTGAGACAAAAATGCTTAAGGTTGGCGACCACTGCTTGTCAACATTATTCTTTGTTGATGATCAGGTACTAATTGCTAATGGTGAAGAGGATATAGATTATATGTTAAGGAAACTACAAGAGGAATATAATCTAGCGGGAATGAAAATGGACATGGCCAAAACAGAATATTTAAGAATAGGTAAAGAAGGCAAAGATCTCGACTTGTGGTTAAGATTGGTTAATCAATTCGAAGAGTATAAATACCTTGGTAGTATTCGGTCTAACAAAGGCTCATCTGTACAAGAGATACAACGCAAAATTCAACAGGGACAGAGGAGTGTACGAGTTTTCAATCTTTTACTTTGGTCCATTCAAATATCTATAAAAACAAAATAGACAATATACGGAGCAATTGTGGAACCAATAATGACATACGAATCAGAATCTTGGCAGCAAAAAGAACCAATGAGGAGGAAAATAGATGCTGTAGAAATGGATTTTCTCAGAAGATTATGTCGCATATCTAGGTTAGAACACATACCAAATGACGAGATTAGACGCCGTACACATCGAAGGCACAGAACAACTGAACGAATTGAAACAAGACAACTGGCATGTTAGACGAATACTGCTTCCTTAAGCTGATATTATTATATTTGGTCACTTTAGGTTTGCATTTATTTTTATCTTCATCTTAATTAAGGTGGCAGTTTATGTACAGTACTGCGTCTTTCGCTATAACCATATAGTGGTCTCAACCACATTCTGCACTACGATAAGCCCTTACGTCATTTGTCTTTAATCTCGTGTTTTGCGGCTTTTAATTTTTCATAAAAAGCCTCTTTTGTATTGACATCACTATCGCCATTTAGCACGTAGGCTCCTATAACACGTATTTGTTCTCCGTTTTTATTTAAGTGTAATGTTATAATCTGTTCATTTACTTCCTCCCAGCCTTTAATGTTTTTTATGAGACTCTTATAGATACCAATGGAAACTCCTCTTTTTGCTCTTGATCTTTTGTCCACTCCACTATAAAAACGAATGTACTCCCCTAACTCTATACACTATTCTATGTGTCCAGTCTCATGGTCCTTTTTCGTAGCAGTCGTCGTCTATGTTTACCATCTTCCTTCCGAGGCTGTTGATGGAAACTTTAGCCAGGGGATTTTTTTACGAAAAATGAGTTGCTAGCCCATTGTTTCAACCTTCTTCCTTTATCTGGACTTGGGACCGACAACCGCCCAACTGAAATACTCAATCCCTTCAGCGGGCGAGTTAGTACGGGGAACCAGAAAATTTAGTCTATGTAACAGGCCAAAGCAACCAAACAAGAGCACTAGGAGACACATAACCAAATCTATTTATTGATTTCGTATGCGCAAAGCCTTGTAGGGGATATACTACGTCCAATTTATACCATACATACTTCAAAAACTTATGCTGAATTTTTTGACAATTGTACCCAGGAGAGCATACTACTGATGCATACTTCAACTTAGACCTGATGTATGAGTTATATACTATTTTTATCACTTCTGCATTTTTAAGTCTCTGGTTATTAACATAAGAAACAAAGGATAATTTCGAGTCGAATATTACTCCCAAGTCACAAAAAGTGTTAGAACGGCAGAGAGTTTTATCAAAAAAAATTTACAGCTGCATGGTGGTAAAAGAGACTACATTACACTTGGCTATATTAAGTTGCAAGTTATTATTTAGGGCCCAATTCTTGCGACTTGGGCCAAACTACGCTGGCGAACAAGACAATACTGAACATCGGATTTAAAAAAAAAATACGTCGTCCGCATTTATCAAAAAACTGACATCAACTGACAAAGGCATTAACGACAATGTTGAATAATAATGGCCCGAATATTGAGCCTTGAGGAACGCCTGAGGAAGTGTATTCACATCGGAAGTGGGAACATAGAGATAGACGTACTGAGTGCGGTTAGACAAGTATGAAGAAAACAAATTATCAAGCCTTTCGGAAAATCCAAAGGCACAGAGCTGGTGGATTAAAATTTTGAGATCTAGGCGATCAAACGCTATTGGAAAATCAAGATATATGAAGTCTATTTGAGAACCTTCATCAATAACCCCAGAAATATACATAGTTAAAAAAAAACATGTTGGTGGGGGACTATTTGGTTCTTAGCAATATGAAATATTTTGTCCTGTAGGAGGGATTCTAAAACTTTACAGAAACTGCGGGTATAGTTTGTAATTTACGATCTATAAGGTTGTTCGGAAAGTCATTTCGTTTTTTTCCCGTCAGAGGACTTAATTACGTTTTTTCGAAACCAACTTCACACTTAAGCCGCATAACCATTATATGTCTTGAGAGCTGATATTGCAAGGCTTGTGTGTGAAAAAGTTCTATTAATTCTACGCAGTAGTTTTTGGTTGGTGCCCTTTTAAATATGGAGAGCAATAAGTAGCATTTTCGTCATATTTTACTTTTTTACTTCAGAAAAGGTAAAAATGCTATCCAAGCGAGAAAAAAATTGACGGATGCGTATGGAGAAGGCGTGTTAACAGTACGCCAGTGCCAGAACTGGTTTGCAAAATTTCGATCCGGCAATTTTGATGTCGAAGATGCACCACGGCCTGGAAGGCCGGTCGAAGCTGACAAAGATGCGATAAAGGCATTAGTTGATGCAAATCGGCGAATAACCACACGAGAGATCGGTGAGAGATTAAATTTGTCGAATTCGACTGTTTATGGCCATTTGAAAGGCATGGGCTTAACCTCGAAGTTCGATGTGTGGGTGCCCCATGTCCTTACGGAGCGAAATTTGTGTCGTCGCGTTGACGTGTGTGAATTGCTCCTCAAACGTCAAGAAAATGATCCATTTTTGAAGCGGATTATTACTGGTTACGAAAAATGGGTTGTATACAACAATGTTAAACGCAAAAGGTCATGGAGCAGAAAAGATGAACCGGCTCAAAGCGTGTCAAAACCAACATTCACCAAAAAAAGGTGATGCTCTCCGTTTGGTGGGATGTCAAAGGAATCGTTTTTTTTTTAGCTTTTGCGGGACAATACAACGATTAATTCAGAAGTCTATTGTCATCAACTGGACAAATTGAATGATTCACTTAAAGAGAAGAGGCCCGAATTAATCAACAGGAAGGGTGTAGTGTTCCACCAGGATAATGCGAGACCTCACACAAGTTTGGTCACTCGCCAAAAACTTTTACAGCTTGAATGGGACGTACCGCAACATCCACCATATTCTCCAGATCTGGCGCCTTCCGACTACTATTTGTTCAGGTCCCTGCAAAATTTTTTGGATGGCAAAACCTTTACCTCAAATGAAGATGTCAAAAACCACCTGAACCAGTTTTTTGCCAGCAAGGACCAAAACTTTTATGAGAGGAGAATTATGTTACTGCCAGAAAGATGGCAAAAGGTGTTGGACCAGAATGGCCAATATATAATTTAATAAAATATTTATTCATTATACGAAAACTGTCTTTCATGTTCCCCAAAAAAAACGAAATGACTTTCCGAACAACCCAATACAATCTTTTTTGTGTGCGGGAATAATTTTCGACATTTTCCCTATACCAGGACCGGCTTGGTTTCTCAGACACAGATTAAAAAGTATTAAATGCGGTTTAGCCAGAACAAAACGACAGTCTTGTATAAGGAATGTTGGAATTAAATCTGGACCTATTGTAAATTTAGGTTTAATTACTTTAAAAGCTTTTTCCACCTTATATTCGGAGAACATCTTTATGTTTATATCGTCAGAGTGGTGTAAATTACTAATCCCATTAAAAGAGAACTCCCGTTAGAAAATGACTATCGGAAACATAGTGCAAAAGAGTTGAATCTATTAAGTATGTAACTCAGTGTCATTAAAGTTCATATAACTGAGTACACCTAAGGTTTCTCTATTGTTTTTAATAAACGACCAAAATTTGTTTAGGTTCTTTTTTACTGTCACATTCAATTTTCAGTAGATAGCTTTTATAGGAGTCCCTAATTTCAGATTTTATCTTCGACATGTGGCATTTAAAATTTTTACAATTCTGAGAGACTACCCGTACTTCTGACCTTTTGTTACATCCAGTTTTCTTTTTTGTATTGTATATTATATTTGAATTAAACTAGGGAAGATACTTATTATCATTACATGACACTTCTTTTGCTATTTGAATCTGATTTCAAAATCTAATAAAATTAAATAAACAAGACGACCAGAGTTGTTTTCTCAGTGACTTGATGTTTTGTTTTAATTCGTACGTCATGTAGCAGTCTTGTGATCATTGCCAAGCAGCGTTAATTTCGAATCACGTGTCACCTACATTTTCGTATTATCGGAATAACGGAGGGAATTCCGCAAACCAAAGCATACGTTATTTCAAATAGTTTGTAGTGCATCGAAGCAACCTTGAAAAGCAATTTCCAATTAAAATCAATTCAAAGAGTAATTTTAATTTTATAATAATTTTATAAATTTACTTATTAAACCAGTATTACATGAGATGACCAATTGACCAGTGATCGTTATGTGGTGGACATGATAGTTGTTTAATAGTTCGATTTCACTTCTAGTTGTTCAAGTGGTTTACGATTAACGATAGTTCCTTATTTTTCAAAATGCTCCATTAAATTAAATTTAATAGATGGCCGGTAAAACTAGAAGACGTTTTAAGCTTTTCTAAAATTGCGTCGTGCTGCTGTGACCAACATATAAAGAGAAAATGTCCGTATAAATCAAGTGCATTTAATAAGAACATAACCGTCCAAGGATTACTTTTAGTACGGTGTAACGGCAGTTTTACTTTAAGAGGCTTTTAGTTTGAACTTCCGTAATAACTGCTAAATATTCTTAAACTTTCATTGCGCAATATGCTTACCATATAATATTATGCAAGAGATTTGGTTAGTATTTCTTCATAAACTTTATGAATATCTTTTATATTTTATATGTCGGTGAGGTCATTCATGAACCCCTCTTTGGGCTAATAAAAGGGGGACCTTTATACGTACTGTTTCGGGTTAATAAAGGTGGTTTTATTTTCGAAATAGCCACTAACACACCGACCGACATAAAAAACGCATTACCGGGACAAATCATGACAAAAACCAACACGTGCTGGCTAATGCTTGCTGTATAGTGGGTTATATTATCCTCGAGAAAAAATTCAATTCATATCGATACAAAAAAAATATATATACTATGTAAGTTAGCCACTTTAGTCACTAGTTTGACGATAGATTATAAATTCAATTAAATAATAGGTACTTCAATTATTTCAATTTTTTTTATGTTTACGAGAAGCAATACGCGTTATTTTGAAAATACAAAAATAATTATTAAAATGTCTCATCCTGCAAGTAATATACAATCAAAATTTTTAAAAAAGTCTTCAATGGTTAAAAAAATCCGGGCACAATTATCGATAAGTTTAATTGTGGTCCATTTTGTATTTTTCACTATAAAAAACGACCCAATTACACAAAAACTACATTAACATATATATGTTTTTCCACACTATTATAGTTTCTTTACTGATCTTACATCAGATTGTCTTTAAGATGGCAGAAGCCCGATAATAAAACAGCAATCTTTATTTGTAGGTAAACTGGTGTAAAGATCTGT